GTAGGGCAGCTCTATTTTCAACTTTTTGAGAAACCTCCATACTGTTTTCCAGAGTGGTTGCACCAGCTTGCATTCCCACCAACGGTGTAGGAGGGTTCTGCTTTCTCCACATCCTCACCAACATCTGTCATTTCCTGACTTGTTAATTTTGGCCATTCTGACTGGTGTGAGGTGGTATCCCATTGTGGTTTTGATTTGTATTTCCCCGATGCTGAGTGATGTTGAACACTTTTTCTTGTGCTCCAAGGCCTTTTTGAGCAATCAAACTATCTACATATTGTTAATTAATTTCAGACAGAATAAGCCATGTGAACACATCTGTGGGAGCACAATCACCACTGTACAATGGCAATTGGTGTAAACTATATGTGAATTTCTCTCTGTATGCAGCTGCATTATTCAAATATCTATAGGACTTGCTACATATCTCAAGTATGTATTTATAAAAATGAGAACTATGTGCTCATGATTCATCCTTACTCCTCTTAATGCTTAAGGAGAAGATTATTCAGTCTTGCTGCTTTGCCTAAGCTGTCCACCTACTTATGGGAATCTGTTTTACATTGAACTTCCTTGTAGCAGATTTTTGTTCTTTGGAAATCCCACTGCTCTGCTGTTGGGGTAATGGAGTGACATTTATCAAGAAACTTGTTACCAGAGAGCTATGCTTTCAAATCCTAATTTATCTTGTGTGGCCTAGGGCCATGTGCTATTGAATTTCCTAGGAATTACGACAGGGGAGGAAAGAATTTTTACTGGTAAAAGAGGAAACTGGGAACCAAGCTTGGTGTGAGGATATTTTTTGACCAAAGTGAGGAAATAAGTTGGTGCATGCTCAAAATCTTTATCATCACTGGGGCCTTCTTGCTGTTTTTTTTTTTTTCGTTTTCAAAACCCAGTCCCCTCATCCTCACTCATCATGGGAGAAATGCCAATTAAATGCACCCTGAGATAACATTTCTCACCTATCATATCAGTGAAGATCAGAACTTTGAAAACATACTAGGTTGGTCATACTGGAGTGAAATATAATAATATTATCTTGTACATTGTTGGTTGGAATACAAGATGGTACACCTCCAATGGAGGAGAATCTGGCAATACCGAGGAAAGGTACATAGGGACTGGCTCCCCCTCCCCCATAGAATCATCTCACTTCCATTTTGTTGTACCTAATGAAATAATTCAGGCAAAAGTAGTCAATGGGTGAAAATTTTAGGCAAATATTCGATAATGACTCTTACAAGGAAGAAATTAAGCTGTTACTACCTGAACCCACTGATCAATCAGCATAACTAAGAGTGGGACAACTAGACATTGAATGATCATGAACTTGAAGCAGCAGGAAACACACAGCCTCACTATGAAGTGTACTTTCAACACATGTTGACCTTGAAATAAATCAAGGCTTTTTAACGAAATTCTATTTATGAGACCATAATGAGGAAGCAGACAGACAAAATCCAGTATGTGGGACATTCAGTAAGTACAGCAAACATGGTTTCTTCATAGGTCGATGTCATGAAAACTGAGTCAGAGAGTGGGAGGAGGGAGACGGCTCTATGTGAAAAGAGATTTATGAGGCATAAAACCAATGTAACATGAGTTTCTTGTTTAGATCCTGGTTTGAAAAAAACAAATACAAAAAGGTTTCCTGCCATTGGGGGAAATTTAAATATTGACAGGATAGTAGATGACACCAAGAAAATATTGATTTTGTTAGGCATAGTAATAGCATTGTGCTTATATGAGTAAATATCCATAGCTGGGTGATGGTGAGGTTCATTATATTAATGGCTCTGTGTTCACATGTGTTGAAAGCTTTTTCATGACAAAGAGTCTTTCATTCTCATGTTATTTTGATCCATGTCACCTCTGAAAATAGCTGTACAGTACACAGCAACATCTTTAATTTCTTACATGGATTCCCCTTTCTTTCATCCACGGTAATCAAAGCCTAGAGTCTTGTTTGTAGAATGTGACTCTATCCCACTAGCCATAGTTGATTGGACCAAGGGTAGGCTGCTGACCCAAGATGGACTAGTCAGAGATCTGAACCAAGGAATGTGGAGGAAATGAAGAAAAGAAGAGAGAGGCACAGGGGATGGAGAGTAGGAATAAGAATGCAGATGAGTTCTCTAGGAATGGCTATACAATGGGCACATTTTTTTGCTGTGGACGTAGCAGACAGGAGAAGAGAGAGAACTGGTCCACAAAATGAAGAATGAAGTAGACTCATGGAGAGAAGCAGAGTCAAGAGATAGTCCTACTAAAGCAACTTACTGAAGGGGAAAAAATATTTGCACATCATGTATCTAATAAAGGGCTAATGGCTGAATTTATAAAGAATTCATACAACTCAGCAAAAAACCAACTAGTTCAATTTCAAAATGGGAAAGGGACCTGAATAGACATTCTTCCAAAGAATATATCCAAATGGCCAACAGGTACATGAAAAGGTGCTCAACATCACTAACCATCAGGGAAATGTCAATCAGAACCTCAACAAGCTATCAACTCACACCCATTAAAAGGGCCATCACCAAAAAACAAGAGATAACAAATGCTGGTGAGCATGTGGAGAAAAGGGAATCCTTGTGCAGTATTGGTGGGAATGTAAATGGGTACAACCACTATGGAAAGCAGTATGGAGGTTCCCCAGAAATCCAAAAATAGAACTACCATATGATTCAGCAATTCTACTTCTAGGTATATATCTGAAGCAGATCAATATGTTGAAGAAACATCTGCACCCCTATGTTCATTGCAGCCTTATCTACAGTAGTGAAGATGTGAAAAGAGTATAAGTGTCCATCAACAGATGAATGGATATAGAGGATGTGGTATATA